TCTTCTTCTTCTTCTTCTTCTTCTTCTTCTTCTTCTTCTTCTTCTTCTTCTTCATCATCATCATCATCATCATCATCATTATTACTGCGTAATGCGCTATGCGACTGCAATGTATTATTTCACAAGCAGACCTAGAATATTGCTCAGGAAGGACTTGTTTTCCCGAAAAGCATAGATTAGCACAAGCAGCCGATAAAGTGCTCAAACACTTTTTTTTTCAAACTGACAGAATATTCGTTCTTCTAGATCCGGATACCCATTCCCACCTGGGTTGAGCGGGGAAAGTTATGTCTGTTGGTGCATTTCCCAACAATAAAAAGAAGGACCCCTGGCGGAATTTGGAATCAAAATCTTCTGGTTTTGAGAGTTCGAGAGTCTAACCAATCACCAACGCCAGGACTGCAGGACCAATGATTTTTATGGAGAGTACAGAAAAAGGCGCATAGACCGAAGTGTAGCCTACGTCACGTTTAGATCCATCATCATTTCCTTTGGCTCGTTGCATTTTAATACAAGGCATTCACTTTACTGTTAGTACATTGTACTTTTATTAGCCTAATAATCATAATTATAGTGTATATTGGGGGTTTGAAGACAGTAAACTTGAATATCATCTTCATTTTCACCAAGTTGTTCAGGTTGCTATAGCAACAATGTTTTGTTTCTCTCCCACCACCAGCCAATCGGCGTGTACGCCAACGAGTCGACAGGAAGCTCCTTCGTGGTGAGGAAAACCAGCAACCGGTCGGACTTTATCCTGGTGAGTCAGTCACACGCTCAGATAGTACAATTGAAGACCTGAAAACAGAAACAAGGTTAAATCACATTTTCCTGAAAATAGAATTCTGCATAATTTATCATTCGAAAGCTGCGACAAAGGGCTATCTATTAGCAGCACCGACGAAGCGTTATTACATTCCTGCGCCCGGTTATTCTTGTTCAAAGACACGAAGCTTTATGCAACAACAAGGTCAAGTCCAGTAAAAAAAAAACAACCAAAAAAACACATTTAAGGGACCTCTAATCGGAACTTACTTGAATGTATTTCATTTTCTCGAAATCATATAAATGGGACTTGATCTTGGTGTTGTTCTCAGGTCTTCAATTATTATTTACGGTTGACATCATCAACTTCCGTCATTCACGCCTCGTGTTTTGTACTACAGTGCCATTTTTGTCCTTTGGATAATAACATTTTCTGTGTTATATTTCAATTTTTTTTTGACGAGCGCCTGATTTCACCACGACGCCCCACAAATTGTTTCTTTAGAATTACAATGTTTTATCTGACATTTTTGGCCGTTTTGAGAACAGTAACCAAGACCATGAGGTCAGAAACAAAATGCCAATGTCCTATCTGCTCTATCAAAATTGAAAGATTATTCAGAGTCGCTATCAAGCTAATTAAAGAATTGTATTCGAAAGCTCTCTTCACACACTGTGAAACTCAAAATTTTTAACGTCAAAAAAGGTACTGAGCACATAAAACTTTGTAAAATAATTCTAAGGTAGCGATTCTGGGTCTGCCAGAATCTGAGTACGGCCATTATCGTAGCAAGTTGACGTAATACAACCAAGTTTAAAGCCCCCCCCTCCTCCTCCCTACCCATCCCCAACGACCGATCAGTAGTCTGCCCAGGAAGTGACGTCATGATGTCTTGTTCCCAGGAAGGCATCTTCTACGACGGTTTGGACCAGTTCCACATGACACGTGACATGCACGGAGGCCTGCATCGAATACACAAGCAGACGCGGGTAGTCGATTTCCAGGACGATTACGTCAATTTCATTCACGAAGAAGGTGAGTCCTATAATCTTGTGATAAAATTCTCGTGTGTAAACTTATTGTAAACTTTGTCTTAACGTTAAAATAATATCAAATTTGGCACCAGCTTATCAAAATTAACGAAATGACCCTCGGATGACTCTTTTTCTTGCTGGATTTTGAAGATCACAAAAAAGAAGTATTATTGTTGAGATTGCTTCGTGTGTCATAATTTTCTTTTATCACAAAGAAGACGGAAAATTGTCAGTTTCACTGAACGTGTAACAGACGCCAAAGCACAACTCTTTGTTTTTCTTTTAAGAGCACATATTATATACAAGAAATCCAACTCTTCTTTTAATTTTAAGACCACGAGCTTGAGTAAATCCACCTTTATTTTTTAAAAGCGCGAACTTAGAAAAAATCCAACTCTTTCTTTTTCTTGTACGAGTTCGGACTTTAAAAAAGTCAAAGCTTTTCTCTTTATTTTACGAGCACGAACTTGAGAAAAAATTCAACTTTTTTTTCTTTAAAGAGCACAAAAAGGTTGGCATGGACAGCACGAGAGCTCCACACATGCGCAAGAGTCACGCGGTACATAAACGTCAGGCGACGGGGAGTGAGCACGACATACAGCTGTTTATGGTAGCGGACAACAGGGACTATCGCACGTGAGTTTTTATTTTCTTTTTCCTCTCCGCTTGTGTGTGTGTGTGTGTGTGTGTGTGTGTGTGTGTGTGTGTGTGTGTGTGTGTGTGTGTGTATGTG